TTTATGATCTAGAGAAAGAGGCTGTTCTTCGCCCGGGGTTTCATAATAAGCTGTACGGAATAATCAAATTGCTTATTTATTACGACAGTCTTATGAATATAAATTCTCACTGACCAGTTTTCTAGTGGCCTCGTATAGTATTCATTTTATGAATTAAATGGTCGCCAATAAACGCGGTATGGTCGCCTGGTAACCGGCCCAGGACGGAGAGAAACAGAGAGGAAAACTGGTAATACTCTATGAAGCGACTTTGTATGCAGACCTATGATAGAAGAATTGCTTGCAGGAATACGATTGTATTTTTCAGGGGTGGGGGGTTATAAAGATTGGATGCTGTTACAACGTAATGCTGTTTTCTGTTATCATGGATTAGACCTTCAGACCTGTTTCGGATTGTACCTAATAAAAGGAATCCTTCTTGAACTGAGAATCAGCACATCGCAAAGCCTCTATACCTACTCAGGAAAAGGCCGACGATGTCATGCCCCAAATGGAGTTCGAACCCGCATTATGAGTGTACACGTCTCTGAGAGCGCAGTCACGTTATCGGAATTCAACGTTTCGACATTTTAAACGGATCACAATTGGACACAATGATCAGGACACAAGCCTGGACCTGTGTGGTCACCTCTTGACTCCGGGACACGTCGTGTAGTCTGGAGGCGACTGTACCCAACACCAGCACCGGTAGCAGCGACAATTAATAAAGCTTCGGGGGGCAAGGGCAGAGAAGTGAAACACGACCTTGGCTAAAGATGAGATACAAGAGTCGCCAGATTTCCTGGCTCCTGCAGTCTGAGTCAGTCGAGTAATTGATGGGGTAATATAAAGCAGTTGACGTAGTGTAATAGACGGCTATAGGCCCCTCCCTGAACCCCATTCTTAAAACGTGTAATAGCTAACAAAACAAGACATGGCGGTGGGATGACATCTGTTGAAGAATGAAGGCCGACTTCATGATAACTGGTGACCTTGTCGTTATCTACACGATAAGGCCCTCGCTTCATATCTCGCTGGCTACATTGTTTCGTTACATTTATTTGTATTCCCCCTGAACTCCACTGTTACTGTCACTGTGATGAAATTCGGACTTAAAACTTATTTATTATCACAACATTCATCCAATTTTCACTCTCTTATTTATTATTCTAGGAAGATATTACATTTCACATTCAGGCAACACAACAATTATTATTTTATATTTATTTTTTTTTACTGTAGACCAGATAATTACATATTTTATTCTTCTTTTCATCCCATTACGATCTTTATCTCTGTTAATATTGTTCCCAGACATGCATAAACTTGCTTATATTTTACAGAATTCGTGAATGTTTTACCTAAGCATTTCAGCTTGTATATCTCTATATGACCCTTTTAGCTTACTATAGATACGCGCCACCTGGGGGGCACGCGGTAGCGTAGTTGGTTGAGGCACTATGCTACAAGCCGGAACGTCGCGGGTTCAAGTCCAGATGAGGTCACTGGATTTTTTCAATTGACCCAATCCTTCCAGCCGCACTGTGGCCCTGGGGTCGACTCAGCCTCTAACGGAAATGAGTACCAGGAATATTCTTGGATTGTTCTTGGGGGTAAAGGGCGGCCGGTGAGTAGTGCTGACAATCTTGCCGCCATCTATGAGCCGATTGTCTAGAAAAGTTGGGAACCTCAACATCTCACAACCCTATGGGCCTTCACGGCATGTTACAGGGATAGCTTTACTTACTTTACGGGCCACTTGTCAAAGTCAAAGCATAATGCGATCAGTTTCTACAACGTCGTGGTGCAGATGTGCTGTCCTGACAAACTGAGTTTGTAATGCACATTCACCATTGTGTCGGTCTTTGTCTCAGCACACCTTGCCGCGCTCCAGCAGCCAGCAATTAAGATAAGTCTTATGGGAAAAATGGCAGATAACAAAAACTGTCTGCTCGGTCGTTCAGGGATAATGCGACATCAGAGAAAAACTGCGCTGCCGCCATATTTTGTTGCGCTCATAAAAGGAGGAAAAGACAGGAATTACAAGCTGAAACCAATTAAAAAAAATGCATACAGTTAAGGTGCTCTTAGGTATGCCCCACACCGGCATGCGTTAAGACATGTAACGGTCAAGACACGATGTCTGCGACATGACGCAAAGAAAGGAGCAAAGTTGAAACGAATGAGATTATGAAAACCGCCGCACACCGGTCTGAGTCATGACGCTGACGTCAGCTTCATGCTGACAAATCACGAATGAAGCAAGACTGCGTCTTTTGTCTCGTGTCCTGATGCTTGTCTTGAGGCAGTTGGTGCGCGGCCGCCCCTACTGGGAAGCTGAAGATTGCAGTGTAAGAAACAGAACGAAAATCACTGCTTCATCTTATTCGATACAGCTTCCATTTCAGAAACTGTGACAAAGGAAGGAAACAGACAGTTAAGTAATGAGTTCCCTTGGTCAAGTGATTTGCCTTCCTTTTCTTTTCGCTTTCCTTTCTTCAGAATATAAAGGAAACATATGAGCTCACCATGCTGCCATATGTGTGTCTGTCTGTGTGTGCCTGTCCTTCCAGCTATTGAACAAACTAACCGAACTTCACGAAATCTGGTGTCAGCTTTACGCAATCTGAGGTCACCGCAACCTCGTACTTTTTAATTTCTTGCGGCTGGGAATAACATGACGGAAGCACCAGTTTTAGAGGAGGCCATACCATTTAATTTATTGTCTTGAAATTCTGTACAGCAATAGACCTTCAAGAAAATATTCTTACGAAGTTTTATTAAAACGATTTCTTATTGTAGAATATAAAACAACTAAATAGTGGCTGCAAGAAATCTATGGGCTCTTTAGCTTTCGGTTTAAAGCGATAACTAATTGACCATTAGTGCTAGATACGTGAGGTTTGGCATGGAATTCAGAAATATTGCTTATAATCTTGCGCTTTTTCATCTTTTATGTGATCTATGATCGCTATGATACATTTCATTCCGTCTATAAAACTTGTGGACTTTTTGTTACACCGTATTAGAAGGTTACATGTCTCGCCGTCACGTGCGTCATCAACTGACCCAAATATCTGAGTACAAACACCTGATACAATTGGATAGACTTGAAAGGATTCTGACGATGGTGTATACTGTACTTCTTTTGGCTTATTTTGGACTTCACCCATCGTCCGGTATATAAAAAGACAAAAAACCACAACGTTTCGGAGACTGGATCTGTCTCCGTCTTCAGGTGTATAGGGAAGGTTTAACCTACTCAGTTGGGCCCCTTAGAAATACCTGATACAATGCTTACGTAAAGAGTATAAGCTGTTCATATATCATTATGTCTTACAGTATCACCACGTTAAAAGAAATTTACATAAATGGATCCATTTCCGGATTTTTAATAACAAAACTGTCTACTTATTTTACAGTTTAATATTTTTATACCAAGTGATGAAATTCAATTTCTCTCGACAGATTTCTAAAGCTGAATATATTGTGACATGTTGAGCTATGGATGATGCCCCTCCCCCCCCCTCGCCAGCCGAAGTGAGCCGAGCGGAGCCGAAGTGAGCCGAGCGGAGCCGAAGTTATTCTTAATGTTCAGCGGAGTGCTTTAGCTAAGCTTGCAGTTACGTCAAATTAAGCTATAAGTTGTGAATTACAGTTCTTAGCTGCCATCTTATAAGACACGTTGTTTAGGCATTTGAACGTTTCCTTGCTTTCCTGGTAGAAAAATTAAGCAATAATATATTCTGAATTGGCTATGGTACAAGTTCATAGCATCTGCGTACAAATCCAATATGCTAACCCTTGAGAAGGCCGGTCACGGTAGCCGAGCGGTCTAAGGCATGCACTGTTTTCGCTCGCTCGGAAACCGAGATCGTGGGTTCGAATCCCACTCAGGGCATGGATGTTTGTGTGCGTTTTTCTGTGTTTGTCTGCAGGTAGAGGCCTTGCGACGAGCTGATCACTCGCCCAAGGAGTCCTACCGTATGTGTAAGATCTAGTAAACCGAAGTGAAACGGAGGGTTTCATGGAGGTAGGCCTAGGCCCAAATTGGGGCTGTAGCCCACAGGAAAGAAACCCTTGAGAAGTATTGCATTATATTGCTAGATTACGAATTTATATTATCTACATATGACAATAACACAACATTTTATGGAGTGAAATTCTGACTGATAGGAAAGCAGGAATTATGACTGCAGTCCCGAACTTCTTCTTATTCCCGTATTCACTTTCCTCCATTTCTTCAGTTCATCAGTTGAGGTTTCTCTCCTATATCGGTTTCCTATATTTAGGAACAAAACGGAACCACTTTGGCCTAATTGGGAGGACGCCTATCTACTGAATTCCAGATTACTGAATGCGCTCCTTGTAGTAATATTCCTGAACCGAAAAGGAACATTTCCGATCATCAGCATCAAAGCAAGCGGAATGTTGTAACGTTATGGCTCCAAACTGGTATCCACTGGGTGCTCGGTTCGAATGTCAGCCGGAACACCAAATATTCTGACTGTCGCTTTCCGTGGCTTTTCTCAGTCCCTCCGCACAAGATCCAGGATAATACCTCTCCTAGGTCAAGACAGCTTCCTTCCAAATGATTTCCAATGTATCGCTCATGATTCATCCTACCATTCGACCCCATATGGTCTACATACTGACAAAACAAAGACAAATTCCGTGGTCTGTAGTCCGCAAGTGAACTATACCGACCGAGCGACCGCCGCTTCTCAGCGAAGTTAGTGCCAACTTTAGCGTATAGAGGGTGTCGCGTGGTCAGCGTAACGAATCCCCACGGCTGGATCTAGATACTGACAGTGCCGTAAAATAAGCCACAGAGCTGCCGACATGAGCACTCTACTCATGCACTTGCTATGTACTCTGCATTTCAACAAACTCCATTACCAAAAATATAACGACATGTTATACACCGAGGTGTAGTGTGTATCTACAGAACGAAATATTATATTTTACGGATAGTCGTCCACTGTGACTTGAAATGTAGGCTACTACAAACGTGTGCTTACCTTTGGTAGGGATGCAGAGAGGGACGGAGTCGCTCCAGAGTCCATCCACACAGAGAGACGAGCGGCTGCCTTTCAGCCTGTAACCCGCGGAACACTGGAAACGGGCCTCTAGGAATCCGGTGGTTGCCCTCAAGCGCAGGGACAGGGTCCCGTGGTCCGGTCCTCGCAGGGTAGGGCACTTCACCAAACTCGGCAAGGGTTCTGTAACATGCATTACACCTGACATCCATATTTTGGCGATTTCTGTGCTTTAGCTTAGCCTCTGCCAGACGTTGGCTGCTTTGTTCATAATCCATGCTGGGACACTGTTCACAGGATGGCGGCAATAGATGCTGGACTTCACTTTGTTTCTAGCTAATTGGATCAAGATCCCTATGTAAGTGAAGAGATTTGGCGTGCAGATTGTTTTAGATTGAAGAATTGTTTAAAAGTGGTTACAACGGGATTAAAATCTGAGCAGCAGATAATCAGGATCTTGTATGAACATAGAATGAATGCTGATAACCCCCAAAACCAGGATTACCTATCGAATCAAATTCATGAGGACACTGTGGTCAACAAGACGACGAAGTTGAGGTCAAATTATGTGAGAAAAACGAGAGAATAAGTAAGAAAAAAACAAAATTACAGTAATTGGAGTTAGCCATGCAAGATGATTGGCCAAGGACCTGAAGGATAGATGAAACTACGAATTTGAAATATACATTTTGAGTATGACAGCGGAGATGGTTGTCACACAGTGGTTCCAATCCCAGGCGGCAGACTTCTATGACACAGGTATTCAAAAGTTGGTCCCACGGTATGACAAATGTCTCATTTTCGGTGGCGATTATATTGAAAAATAGCTGAACACTTGCTGTATCTGTTGCAATAAATATTTCCATGAAATTGTGTTTTGTTTCTGTAAAAGGCCCCAGGGAAACTTACTTTGTGGACGAGCCTCGTAGGTATTAAAAAACCTGGATCCATTCTAGAAAAAAAAATGGTTAGAACGACTTGCTTGGATTTAAAAACTTTAACCAAGAGAGAAGTTTGTTTAGTATGGGGAGGTACAAATGATGTTGGGGGAAATGAGAGCAGCATGGGTATTTGTGCGCTGAAAGATTTTGTAAGTTCACATGCACATACTAATGCTAGTGTGATAAATGTTCCCCATAGAAATGATCTTGCACCTAACTAGTGTGTAAATTATGAAGTTGGATTATTTAATAGGAAACAAGGAAGACAGAGAAAGGTGCATAAAATTTTGTCAGTGATAACTGTGGACTTAGGGCACGGGTTTCACTTAAACGCTGAAGGGAAGGAACAAACAGCAAATAGAGTTGCCTCAGTGATAAAGGACTTGTTCCACGTAAATAAGGCATTACCGATAGCCTTAAAATGTAAAGATAAGGAGGATGTGGATAGTTACGCAAGTGTAAATAAACAGACGCTGGATGGTGCGAGTTTCATGAAATGCAGGTTGTATTACAAACGTATGGAAACACGTGAATCTGATGAGATCAATAAGTTAAGTGAGGATAATCATATGCAGACAGTTCAGGAACTTCAGGAGAGCATTTGCGTAAATGAGAAAAGCTCACAAGAAGATATGAACAGCGTAACGGAAGATAAAAAACCGACCGAAAAGGACACAACACAACAAGAAAATACTGTTATACTATGTAAGAAAACCTTTCGTCAACCTTTAAAAAGAAACAAGGATTTTTACGGTAAATCCCCCACAAGAAACTATCTTTTCTCCAAATAGAGGAAGATCTGATAAAATACAAAATTTGAGTATTGTATGTCATAGCTCCAAATGCTCCCTGATCTACATGCAAGGCTAAGTTTAGTTACCCGGCTTTGCTCGATGGCTGGCCCCCAGGTCTTACCCGCATAACGTAGGGATAAACGTGATTTCCCAATCGCCTGCCATGAAAGCAGAAGCTGTTCTCTTGTTTGACCTAAGAAGTTTGTCTGTGTGTACCTCTTCCGAAATTAAACTTTCGCCTTTCTGCTATTGTGCACAGAATTATTTCAACATGCAAAAACACATCTGGCATTTAATAACAGCGTGACATGAACTGTGGACCTACAAATTAGAGAACATGGACATACGAGTAACAGTAATGACAGTGCACACTGAAACCTATCCAGACCTGTTGCGCCTGCGAGCAGACATGCTGAGCTTCCCACCACAACAGTGTGTGCGCTATCTTATTGCTCGTTCTCCGTCTGCAGGGGAATTCCGGGAACTTTTTGACTGACCTACGTATACTACAATTGTACTGAAATAAATATTCATATTACTGTATTCTGGGGTGACAGCGTGCAGCTTAGAAGATAACTAGTCACGTTTCAACAAAATCTGGTAACTACATCTTCTGGGTAGAAGGGTAAATATTCACCGCATGACAACATTAAATTAAAAAAAAAAAATGTCATTAGTTGTATCTTTGGGTTTCGAGAACTGTTCTGATGCGGAACTAGACTACATGAAACCACTTATAACAGGACACTCAAGACTGACCATAAATTAGTTGATACACAATTTAAATTAGAATTTATATCCTCACAACTATGGACATAGTTCGTAGGAGGAATGAAATGAATCAGGAGTTTAATAGAACCAAGGACTAGTGAAATATGTTCGTAGCGTCGTGTTGCTGACCTTGGTCTGGTGCACCGAATAGGCCTACACGTCTTGCTTTCCTTACGAAGTTAACTCGATTAGGGTCAAGTTAGGTAGCCATGTGTCCATGGCTGGTCCTGATTTCAAGGTTCTGTTAATGTATTCACCTGCTGCTAACTTCATGTTGTTTGCTTTCGTACTCAAAAAAAAAATTTATATTTAGGCACTGTGTACCCGATTATGTGAAATAATTTTGTCTCATGTGTATCTGAAATGTGCCACCACAAATGCAGAACTGACAAACTCGTGTCTGTCTTAAGAAGATGATAGTAGCTCAACTAGTCAGGAAATTCCCCGCTTTTGTGCAACACGGAAGTCGTGCTCACAGGACCTCTACACTTGGCACTATCCTGAACCATCTGATTCTGTACACACTATCAAACCTCATACCTTATTGTCCGTTTTCAGTATTTTAAATTTTGAATCAACCCTGAGCGTAGTTGGTTGAGGGGCTATGCTACAAGTCGGAAGGTCGCGGGTTCAAGTTCCGGTGAGGTCATTGGATTTTTTTTTTTTCAATTGACCTAGTCTTTCCAGCCTCACTATGGCCCTAGGGTTGACTCAGCCTCTAATAGAAATGAGTACCAGGAATTAAATAAATAATTTTTCTGGGGAGCAAAGCACGGCCGGCGCGTAAGGGTGACAACCTTACCGCCATCTTTGAGCTGATTGTCTAGATAATGTGGGATCCTCAAAGTCTCACAACCCTGTGTCTCCAAATTACCGTATTTACGCATGTATAGGCCGCGTGCTTGTATAGGCCGCAGCACAATTTTCAGACAGAAATTATAGAAAAAATAATTTTCTTGGAATATTATTTCAGGAGTATTACACCCTGTATTACTAATTATGAATATAATTTTTTTTAAATGAAGGGTGATTTCGAATATTTCGAATATAAGCCGCACCCCAGTTTTCCTCTTGAATTTTTGGCAAAAAATGTGCGGCCTATACATGCGTAAATACGGTAGTCTCTTCCCTTCACGTTTTCCTTCTAAAATTTAAATATATTTCTAATTTCTCCTGTGTGTCTTTCATACCCCATTTATCTCAGCCCCTTGATTTGATCGACTTAATGATTTTTGTGCCGACCACGGTGGCCACACGGTCTGAGGCATGAACTGTCTTCGCCCACTCGAACACTGGGATCATGGGTTCGAATCCCACTCGAGGCATGGATGTCTGTACGTATGGTGTTCTGTGTGTAGGTATCAGCCTTGTAACGGGCTGATCCCCCGTCCAAGGAGTCCTAACGACTGTTAATAGGATTATGAATCTGAAAAATTGGCCAGGACCCAACTGAGGTCTGTAGAGCCACTGATGAATTAAAATGAATGAATGCTATTTTGTGAACACTGCAAATTATAGAGCTCTTCACTGTGAAGTTCTTTTTTTCTTCTTTCGCTTCTTCCGCGCTCTTTAATCCAAATACTCCTCTCAGGAGGCGGTTCTCAAAAACTCTCAAACCTTAACACGTTCCAGTGAAGTAATAAGTTTTCTCATACCTGGATATCAGGGCAACATATAATATCGGGGTTAATATCCAGAAAATCAACCCAAATTTTTTCCTCTCAGCCAGTCTCAGTTCTCAACTGAATTGAAGCTACACCCTGTACAGTATGCAGAAACTCGAACACAAAAACTGGGCGCTAATGCACGTGTGCACGATTGCGTTATAAATCACAGGAACATGCACTGCCAGGGTTAAGCCTCACATACTCCTAATAAGCCTACACAATTCATACACGTAATTCGATTTAGGCTTTGCAGGAAGTGTTCAGAGAAAGAAGAACAGCGAAACAAATATGAAAATTTTATGCCCTCAGGAAACTACCAAACGAGTTGTGATTGTCCTTGATTCTTCCATGTCCACCAATCCCTAGACTTCTCAAGGTACTACATTATGCTCGTCAATACAGGTTAATACAAATTTTATGAAGAGCTTCTGGGTGTTAGTTGCCTTCAAGTGCTTTAATTTATGCGGCGACGCAAAAAAGAGCTCTAATCCCTAATTTTTTTCCCCTTGGCACTACAGCCCCAGTGGGCCTAGGCCTACCTCCATGAACTTCTCCATTCACTTCGGTTTTTCTAGATCTTACACATTCTGTAGGACTCCTTGGGCGGGTGATCAGCTCGTCGCAAGGCCTCTACCTGTACACAAACACAGAAAAAAGCACACACACAAACTAAACATCCATGCCCTGAGTGGGATTCGAACCCACGATCCCAGTTTCCAAGCGAGCGAAGACAGTATATGCCTTAGACCAANTAGTAGTAGTAGTAGTTTGTGGTGGCGCCCGCACCTCCGTAGGCATCAGTGAATTGTGTCCGAGTACATAAGAAAGTTGGACAGCACTACCTTAGACCGCTCGGCTACCGTGACCGGCCCAATCCCTAGTACTGTACTTAAATAATTTAATTATACTTTTCTGTGTATAATCTTCATTAGCAGAATTTCTCACCGCGTTAAACTTGTTATACATATGTTAAACTCACCATCTTGCATCCTCGCCATTTTTGTAACTAT